GACGTAATGAGACTTGGTTTTCTGTCATCAGGCTTAACCGGGCTTGGTTCTTTTTCATCCACCTTGTCTGGACTGGGTTTTTTCTTATCAACATGTACTGGACTAGGCGCCTTTTCGTCTCGTGTGATGAGACTCGGTTCGACAATTTCTGGTCTTTTAATGGGTACAGCAAGCATAGTTTTAACACTTGTTTCCACATTTGACCCTTCTTCAGGAATTTGTAATTTATCTTCGAATTCAAATGGTATAGGGTCAGGTCTCTTCTCGAAAAGTTTCATTTGTCTTATAACACGGGTAAACTTGGAACCATCTGGATGATTATCTGCTTCTATAGTCATAATGCACACCTTGCATTTTTTAATTTTTTTACTGACGTGTTTAAATTCAGTGATAACTGTGGTAATTATATATTCTCTTAATACTGTTACTCCTTTTACAATTACAGATTCATGTTTGTAAATTGTGTGTTCCTCAGGTTTACCCAAAGGCTTGAAATCTTTTAATATCTCGTCAATTTCCGTTTCTTGTGATTCATCCCAGATTAAAGTAGGTGTTGATCCGTCCGGTTTTAAAGAAACTGGCGCAGATCCATCAGGCTTTACTGGACTTACTATTTTGTCATCAAAGGTGTCCGTGATAGATTCTCCTTTATCGTTTTCAACTGTTGTTTTGTCAGACATTTTTTTCGATATTTCTACTTCTGAACTAATCGACTTTTCACCAGTTGTAGGAGATGGTAGTTTCGGTTTTTCATAAGCAAGGGAGACCTTTCTAATGGTTCGACTATATTTGGTACCATCTGGCATCTCGTCTTCTTCTATCGTTAAAACAGTAGTTTTATATCTGAATGTTGTTTTAGATACATTTGTGTATTCTTGAAGGATTGTCGTTACAGTGGATTTTCTTTTGATCAAGATACCCTTTTCTGTAATTGTTGTTATTTGTGTAGTAGTTACTTCTTCTGGTTTCCCAGCAGGCTCGAAGGCCATAAGTCGTTCTTCAATTTCCAATTCCTCATCTTCGTTATAAATTAAGTCAGGTTTAGAGGTCGTCAAAACTGTTTTATCTTCTAAATCCGAAGATTTTGACAATATTTCTTCTGTATGAATTGGTGAACTAGGCTTGTCGTCGGTTTTTTCTTGACGTGACTCCTCTTTGTCAAGTTTAATAGGGCTATGTGGTTTTTCAGTCTTAGTTGCAGCAAGTTTTGGTCGTTCATGAGAAAGGGATACTTTTCTGTATGTTCTTCCAATCTTTTTCCCATCTGGAAGTTCATCATCTTCAATAGTTAGTACAGTGGTTTTATATCTAACAATCGTTCGAGTGACATTACTATATTCTTGTAAAATTGTTGTTGTTGTAGTTTTCCTGATGATTACGATACCTTTCTCAATGAGTGTTACAACTTGTGTAGTTGTGAATTCCTCTGGTTTACTACTGGGTTCAAATCCAATCAACCTCTCCTCGATGTCTAATTCTTGATCTTCATCATAGATTAAGCTAGGAAGCTTATCGTCTGAGATGTCTGGACTCGGCTCTTTTTCACTATGAACTGGTTTCTCATGTGTGAGTTTCTTCAAATCTAGGTCTTTTGTAGCTTCTTTAGTAGTATCAACAATGTGATCCTTCATTTCTTCAAATATTGATACTTCAGGCTTTGTATCAGGTTGTTCGTCTATCAAAAGACCTTGTGAAGGTTCTATTTTAATGGGGCTTGGTGTTTTGGAAACCGACTCTTTTTTGGTCTCAGTTTCCTTTACGGGAGCTTTTTCAGGACTCTCTTTCTCTGGGCTTGGCTCTTTCTTGTCAGATTTTTTGCCGAAGAATCCGAACACTTCATCTTTGAAAGCTGACACTTTTTCGGCAACTTTTTCAACTTTAGTTTCAGCCTTTTGCAATAATGTTTTTTTCGGAATTTCTTGTTCTGAGACTTCTTTTTCTTCTGTGGGTGATTTGTCTTTAATAGGTTTTTCTGACACATCAGGAACTTCAGTCTTTTCTTGTAAAATTATCTCTTCCTTTCTCTTAAGATCAGCAATTTTTTCTTCTAGTTTTTCTAACGTTTTTGCTGACTCTAGTGTGGTAATAACTCGTTTTTCGGGTTTTTCTTCTATATCCTTGAGTAAAGGTTTTTCTTTAACTATGTCTGCATCATGGTCAGTAACATCAGAACTAATTTCTTTGTATATACTTTCTTTAACATCATCTACTTTCTCGATTATCTTCTCGTCTATGAGTTCTCGTTTGACTCGTTTACTTTCACTAAGCACTGTCTTGTCCGAAGTTTCACTAACGTCCTCTGATGTTATGGATCGGGCTGGTGACACTTCTTTTTGTATTTCCGAGACATCGTGTGGCTTTGTATACAGGGCTGTTGTCTCTTTGGGTTCTTCAAGCAAATCGTGTTTGATTGCTTGTTCACTAGTTAAGAGCATTTTTGTAGCTTCGATTGCACTAACAGTAACTGGCGTAACTGGAAAAACTTCCGGAGATTTGCTAAGCAAAGGAGATTTCTCGGCCATGATTTCTTCTAAGCTTTTCTCTGATTTAAGTACTTCAGCGACATCAGCAACAATTTTTTCCACTTCTTTAGGACTCAAAGGAGGTTTGTCAGGCATTTCCAACTTACGAGCTTCTTCAATCTCTTTTTCAACATCTTCAGGTATTGAAGGGATCTTTTCAGGCATACATGGAATCTCTTCGATTACAATAATATCATCTTTTATTGGTGAATCGAGAGTTGTAATGTGAGTTTCTCGCAATTTCTCAGTATACTGCCCATAGTCGTATTCTCCATCATCATATTCCTTAACTGGTTTTAGGTCTTCATCGGGAACTGCTGACACTTTCATTTGTTCGTGGTACATTGGAGACTCCGGAGCAGATCCAGGTGTTACAGTGACAAGTTCAGGATGGGAAGCACGTTGCACAGTTTTGATAACAACATCGTCTTGAACTGCTTTTATTCCTTTGTATGTTACTACACCTTCTTGGTCTAGGAGAGGTAGGTCTGTAGGAACTTTGACGTCATCAGATTTTCGTTTTATGAATTCTTCTTCTGGTGTTTTCTTTTCTACATAAGTTCTGTAGTCAACTTCTTCATGCAAAGGTAAGTCGGCTACTTCATCTGGAGTCTTGACGATTTCTCTTATTGGAACTGGAACGGACTCAAGTTTAGGGCTCTTTTCTAGTGATAATGGTTTTGTGTCAATTAAACTTTGTGGTGGAATTACTTCCTTAGTCTCTTCCTGAACGTGTTTTTCTTCAACCTGTTGATCCTCTTTAATATCATCAAGTGTTATCCTTTCATCTTCAGGCAGAGTTGGTGCAGTGGTTGCTCCTGATTCAATAGTAGTAGATATTTTCTCATCCGGCTGAGACTCTTGAACCTGCATTTCAAGAGAATCTTTTGGTTTAGGAATACTTTTACTATCAGAGGTTTTCTTTTCACTGCTTATATCTTGTTTTTCTTCGACGCTTACTGAGTGTTCTTTAGATTCAATTTGTTTCGTGTCCGTTTCGATAACGGCTTCAGTCTTGATTTGTGTTTCTTCAGGCTTTTCTAGTACGGTTATATCTTTCTTTTTCTCAGATTCCTCTTTATCTTTAGCATGTTTTTGTAATTCATCTTCATGCTCGTGAGTATCCTCTCGTTCCACAGCAGAGTCTTCGGTATACTGTTCAACTTCTTCTTTTTCTATTATAAGATATTCTTCTTCAAATTCGCCGTCGGCAGTCGTTTCAGTCTTAGTATCGTCTAATAAGCATGTAATTTTTTCAATATCCGATCGTCCTACAAATTCAATTTTCTCTTCAGCTTCGCTGTCCCTGTTGAAAACAGCTTCAATTTCTCTTACAATTTCTTGTTCTTCTCTTTCGTCTAATTCTTGTTGTTTAATGTCATCGAGGGATTTGGATGTGTCTTCGTCAGATTTCTTTGCATCTTTCAGAATATCTTCATAATTTACTCTTTGTAAGCCCTTCAACTTTGAGGCATCACCTTTAACTGACTTCACGGATTTGGTTGGGCTTTTCATAGCTTTCAACCCTTTCACCGGTGATGATAAGGGTCTTGGCCGGCGCGAGATAGGTTCACGTTTAGCTTTAGTTTCTTTCTTTTCAGATGATTTTGTGGTGGCTTCTCGTTTGGGTGATGCTTGTTTGTATTTTGATTCGACAACCATGCGATTTTTCGCTTCCTTAGTGCTCTTAGCTGGGGTGCTTCCTGGACTCAGTCTTCTAGTTTTGGCTTTTATTTTATCTTTTAAAACTGGAACGGATGGAGTAGATTTAGTGTCAGTTAATTTTTTAGGTGTTGTTGGGGGTGACTTTTTATCTTCCGATCCTGCTTTTTTCTCTGTACTTGATGTTGCTTTTCGTTCTGAAACAGCCCGCGTTGCGCGATGACTGATTTTACTTCTTGTAATCGACGACGTCATTTCAGACTTTCGTGTGTCAACTTTTGATTTCTTTTCTACTTTTGTTTTCGCTTCAGCTTCAACTTTTTTAGCATCAGCCTTAACTATAGAGTCTTTAACTTCATCAGTCTTATCAACGCGTTTCGTTTTCTTCTCCACAGCCTTCTTTTTGACATCTTTCTTTTTAGGTAAACCATCTATCACAGTGCTCTCGTATTGAGCAATCTTATCATCTAGTTTAGTTTCTATCCTTGCAGTTATAGCCTCGTGTAAGACAGAGTCCATTTTATCTTCCGCATCTACGAGCTCACTAAGTAGTTTATTATCTATTATATTCTTTGTTTCACCATCTTTAAGATCTTTTGGAGGAGGTTCAGGTTCAACAATTTTGTCGTCTTTCGTTTTTTCTGTAATGATACTTCTTTCTTTACTGGATTTGGTTGTCGTCTTAGCGCTAGTTTTTGTAGTTGTAACCGTAGTTGCTGTAGCGGTGACAGCTGGTACCGTAGGCGCCATCTGCCTACCCGTGCAAGTGGGGTGTTGTAGAAATTCTAAGTGTTTAAGTTTTTCTAAGCCTTCGAATATTTTGTGTTGTGGTGTCGATCCGGGGAACATAATCCTCGTGATCGTGTCGTCAGGGTTGGCCGGGCGCCACACTAGCAACGCACAGATGGAAACTAAGTTAGGTATCGGGAAGTTAAACTGTCCAGACACACTCGCACCATCAAATAACTTTTGTTCACTGTTGTGCCAACGTTTCAAGAATTCACGAACGTATTTAGAGTCCTTGGACGGATTCAGTACGTACATGTCTAGGGTACCTGAAAAAAAGAAAAGTAAGGATTAAACTGTGACAATTACTATGCAACTGTTCATTGAATTAATAACGCAAGGTCTTTGTAACGGATGGGGCAATAAAAATTTAACACTAATCTCAGACTTATTTTGTTATCTTGCAGTCTGTTAGATTTTTTTTCATAATAGTGTGACTTACCATGTCCAACTTTATGGTAGAGGTTGATGGGCTCTGGACTTCTGTAGCAGTGTTGTGGTTTGAGATTGATATGGCGCAGGTCGGCCATCATGTCGGAGCCCTCCTGCAGCAGCGACACCAGCAGAGGATCCGTATCCTTGTCTCCGTCAGGGCTCGCGAGAGCGCGCCTTTCCTGAAAATAGTTAAATTAGGGTTTAAAAATGATGTCTAATTTTATAAGGTGGATTACCACCACTACCATCACTATTAGTGATATTCATATTCAAATTACACAATTATGTAATAATAATGTATTGATATAGTAGTTAGTCTCATGTGATATGTAACGTGGACACACGCCATTTTAAAGTACACAAGGTGTTATTAACAGAGAAAATCGAAATACTGAATAACATCTTGCTCGATACAGAGTGGTGATAGAAGTTGGAAGTGTCCAGTACCTATGAAGTAGGTACCTATTAGATAATTATAAAGAGTTATTATATTTTTAAAAGTATGTAGTAAGTCTCAGTCACTTGATATACGCACACAATAATCTGCCTTAAAAACATGGAATATAATTCACGTAATCACATACCCCTTAAGTATCACATCATTTTACACTTTATCATAAACTAAATAGATAATAAATTCACTTGAAACTTCTCTTATAATATTTGTAGTAAGTGACGCGGCGTGCGCAGCAGACGATCGAGAGATACTGATTGGAAGTTGATACTACACGCATCAATGGGTGCCATAGATGCTGTAATATTGTACTACGATATCCCAGAATTTAATTATATAACTGAAAAACATTGGCACTAAATACATATTATTTATACCAACATTGAGGTCGCAATCAAGACGAACTTTTTCGTCTGATGAAAAGTAATATGAAGAATATATTATTGTGTATATGAATATACACAATACAAAGTGGTCGATCCCCAAATACCTAAACAATCTTTATTAATGATAAAATAAATAAAATACAAAAATATATGTTAATAAGCGATGAAGATATTGAATTGTGTGTGGTAGAGCCATGCTTCGGCACGAATGGGCCGGCTCGACCGGAGTGATACCACGGCCTCACAGAAAACCGACGTGAAGCAACGCTTGCATTGTGTTTCGTCGCGTGAGTGAGGTTACCGGAGGCCCAATTTCCCTCCCCTTCCCCAATCTCCCCAATCCCTGAATCCCCAACAATCCTCAAACTCCTAATCCACAAATAGCCGGTAACGCACTTGTAACGCCTCTGGTGTTCCAGGTGTCCATGGGCGACGCCGATTGCTTTCCATCAGGTGATCCGTCTGCTCGTTTACCGGCTTATGCCATAAAAAAAAAAAAAAAAAAAAGAAGACCTAATAAAGCCACATGCCTGTCGTAGGAAAGCCTACTACTGTATTCACTCAATCTATTTGTTGCTGTTGTAGTAAAAGTCTTTTTTGATAAGATACAAAACATGTGCATTCGCACTTGGATGGAAGTTGTAGCAAGATGCTGATACAAATGAGAAGCTTCATTTAAGAATTCATCATGACAGTTGTATCTGCAATATTTAAGAGCTGCTTCGCAAGCTATGACTAAGTACCTCTTAAGTCTAACTGTATTAATGTGACTTAAGCTTACAGCAACTGAGTTACCACAGTACCAGAGTCATTTAATGGCTACATAACCCAGTCCTTAGCAATAGTTTTTGGAACAAAATCGTCACTAAGGTAGTAGATAGTTCAAGTAATCATTAAATGTCTCTGAATATCGCAGTTAGACACGGAAGAAGCCGTTATTAGCAACAAGTCACTTCTTGGTATGAAACTATCAAGTCTAATAGATTGTTAGTGCTCAATCCGGTAAGCAGTGCGTGTATTGAGGTGTGACGCCGCAGTGTCAGGTGGCGGCCTTGTAAGGGCGACTAGGTGGCGCCAGGCACCCTGTCCCCATTGCCCGCATACCTTCGTACATAGCGAGCAGGATGGCGCTACATAATTTAATTTAACGTAATGTTTTATTTCCAAAAAAGACATAGGTAGGTGAGCATTGTCTCCTAGTCTACGTCTGAATAGACAGGAAGATAATAAAGATGATTCCTAATAACGTAGATTATGTAGTATTTGTTTTAAAATGGCGCTGTCATTAGAATTACAAATGAGATGTCCAATCAATCAGTACAGTTGTCTTTCAAGATGTTTCGAGTTTTTCAGTGTATGGAAAGTTTAAAGTCTAGAATTGTGTCTGGTGTAGTATGGTAAAGGACTCACTTCTGTTTACTTGGAGTTCATAACACAACTGGTGAAAAGGAACTAATTATAACAAAAATTACGGGTAAACAGCAGTTCAAATTACTTACTTCTAAGTTACAGAAGAAGTGTCCAATCTGTGGGTAGACAGTAGCTCCTGCCTTCCTGCGCAGGACAGATGCCATGCCGGAGACTGAGCAGTTGTTGAGCCTGGTGAACAGGACTGCGTCGAGACGGTCCAAGTGGCGGGCGAAGTCCCACCAGCAAGCCTTGCGGGAGAAGCCTCCATCCACTGGAATGTACGGGTATAAAGGTTTAGTATTGCAGTTTTTAAAGTTGAGTAGGTAAAAGTAAATCAAAATTAACAGTTGATAAGCGAAGGTTCTTTTTTGAAAAAAGATTTTCCGCCTAAACTTCTATTAAATTAAAGACATTAAACGCAATGGTGGCCAACGTTAGCGGAGGATTTTTTCAAATGTCAATTCGTACTTTCAAAACGAACTCGACCGCGATCTCGTCCGTCATTGGCCGAGATTATTCTAACAACCAATGATTGAATAAATCGAGTTCAGTACGGTTTTTTTAATTGAAAATCACAGAATAACCTAGTAGGTTACTAAAACCAGAATTTTTGACTAATAAAATTTGAGAATATCTTGTATCGTTAGTAAATTAATTAAAAAGTTAAAAGACCATAATAATAATATAGATAGCTATAAGAAAAAGGTTTTCTTATTATAGCTATCATGTCCTTTTAACATTTTTCTCGATGTTACATTAGACGGTTGGAACTCAATTGAAAATTAAATATTCAATTTTTTTTAAGCGGGTATAATCATCGAATGACTGCTCCCGCCCGGGTGAGGCGGGAGGGAGTGTCAGACTCTTACTGACTAAAAAGCACCCCGTTCCTTCTCCTGCACGTCGAACCGGAGCCCCGGTTACCCGTTAAGTTCTCCGCGACAAATATTCAAGCTTACAGTAGTATTAAAATCAATACCTTCAACAACATCAGATTATACCCTACAGACAAAATAAGTAAGACAAATGAGGTCAGATTTAAACTAGCAACCACTTTGTTCGTCAGTCAGTAGTAGACGATGCGCTTTTGTTCCCCTAACAGTATCTAGACAGGGTATCTAGCGTGTCCTAAGAACATTCTAACATATACAACTGCATACGAAGCAACTACACTTGTCTTTACACCTATCGAGGTTAAAGTTTCTGTTCATTTAAAAGCATTTGCCAGTGATTGTGAGCATTGCATGTAGGTATCATAAATTTGAGTTTATATTAAGTAATGAGGAATTGACGAACTGAAAGTTAAGTTAATATTAGTCCTTACGTTCGATGGTATTAGGTACATTATCTTTTAAAACTATTTCAAAGTCAACGTTGATTTATGTCAATTAGAGCTAAATTACTGTCGAAATTTACTAAAATATTAAAGCACAATCCAATTACGAAGTAGTACTAACAGAATTCCCTACAATATTAACCTACTACCATTTATAATTCACAATACAAATGAATTAGCTATTCACGTTCAATTACCGTGAACATTAACATTGTATTCACCAATTTACACCTAACAATTACCAGTATAATACAATCACACAATAATACCCTCAAACTCCTTTCATACTCAAATCAACATGCAAATTGCAGTTCGGTTAAGCATACATTACTGGCTCACAGACCAAACGCTTAAACAAACACGTTAGCTAAAACGCAATATGATGCAAACATTCCTAAATGTTCGTTGAAGCGAAATTCTAATTTCAAATGATGCTTTGGTGATTTGAGTAAACAAATCAGTTGGGTCATTGTTTCATAATGTCGCTTAAGGTTTATTCGCCGTATATTTACAGCAGAGTAAAATAAATTAGTCACCATCTCTACTCGAGTACGGGTATCTTAGAAGCCGACAACGGGATTACATATTTGCAGCGCTCTCTGAAAAACCTGATGATTTAAGCTGTGATCTCCAACCCGTCTGCTAAGCAAGGAGATTATGGCCTACTCCTTCAGGTAATGCAGAGGAGGCCAATCTAACAGTTGCTTATCTGTGGCTTTTGACAATGATTATATATTTTGACAATGTTGTTTCATTATTACCTATAAAAGCACAAATACATTCAGCCAGAACGTTATTAACCAATGAGATTGCAAGTTTTAAATAAAGAATTAAATGTCGAGATTTTAATTGGGTGTCAGTTTGATGTGCCTGGCAACTGATGGACGTTAATGGAGCCCGAACACTGGCCATTTTATGCTTTTTAATTTCCGTTGTGGCGGTCTGGGGTAGCTCTGATGTTTGCTGTTTTAATTGTTGACGAAATTGTACGAATTTGCTAATTTGATTGCTTTATTGTGTATGGATTTTTATATGTCATTAGGTATTTTTAAAACCATATTAGTTATAATTTAGCAAGAGAATCATGCGCTATAATTGGCTAGTTTCCTAGGTTTAAAATAAATTATTTCAACTTTTCAATGCAATAAATATTTAAAAAATAATCATATTCTCATCCATTGATTTGACAAATAACTTACTTTTGGATTTTTAAGGAAATAAGTATGCTATTTGATGCAGAAATTTGATGACGTCATAAGTAGCGATCCAATACAAATTCATAGAAAAGTATCGTTTTTGACATTTTAATAAAAGTATTGAATTTGACTACCTGTCAACTACCTTATTATCTAAAAAAATGGGATAACAATTCGAAAATATCTACCTTAGGAGGATAATGAATACTGTAGATATCACATACAAGTTACAACCTAAAGATCAAATCAACCAACATGACACCAACCGAATGAAATAAAGTTGTTCCAATGTAATATCAACTCAACGTTTACCTACAATCCAGGCAAACATTCTACCCAACTAATTTAATACCTATAAGGTAGTTCAGCTAAAAAAATATTGACAGAGACCAGCTCAAACACGATAAAATCATTCTATCGACTCTTGATTGGAAAATAAATTGGAGTGGGAATGGCGATGTGCATTCTTGTTTGAATAGAGAATGACGCTTACACCCGACGATCCGCCATCTTGTTTACACATGGCGGGGAAAAATGAAATTGACAGTTCATTTTGAGATTAAAATTATTAAAAAAAAAAATTGTGAGCTTAAGTTATTGTATACTGTAGATTTAAAATAAGGGTTTAAAATAAATAGGGAGGTTTAAAATAAATAATGGAGCATTTTTGAGTCGATCGAGTGTTTATTCATAAAATAAATTTTAGTAATAATTATCTATACTCTTCATTGTTTGCTTATACCAAAATAAAAAGTAAACAACTAAAAGATTATTAAACTACGTGCCTACATTAAAATTCTGGAGATGTTACAAGTAATACCATTACCTAGAACATTAATTGCCTCTCTTTTATAAAGTACTCAGTATCTTAGATTACATTTATAATTAAGAAATTATTTTCATATGTCTCTTACTTAATGGGACCAAACGTTTTAGAAAATATAAAAAGATTAAGAAGCATAAACATGTCCTACATATCATATGAACTTGATATACCAGAAAAATCTTTATTGGTTTATTCAGCAAGAAGACGTTTTCGCATGTTCTAACACTAACAATAATTTTAAGAGTTTTATATCACAAATAAAATTAAATTCTAATCTAATTATACTCACAATAATACAGCAAAGAAATTGCTTACCTAAATAATAAAGCAGCTGAACTACATCAGAACAATGTAACGTAGATAGTCACCAGCGTGACATACCCATCCGTGTGAGTGTTTACATGTGTGAGTTTACTTAGTAACACAACGTGACACGTCAACCGTGGCGTGACAGAAAAGGCTTAATGGGAAATGTTGTTTGTTACACTCGTTCCTGTTATTCAGGAAATTATCTAGAAAACTACATTTGACAGTAGTCAGGATACTGAAAAAGGGGGATTAATCCAGCCATTGGCTTTTAGTCACTAGCGTGACGCATAAGTTAATTGAATCCGTTTGATGAAGATTCGATTTCCAATTGCAAATGATTTGCTTTGACAGGCTTTCTGTTTTAGTCTCTACTAGCTGTGCCCGCGACTTCGTCCGCGTGGAATTTAACAAAAAAATTAATTCGTTTATTTTTTATTTTAGTTATCATTTATTTTCAGTTTTTTGTATTAGCTTTATTGAAAAATTTCTTTATATACAATATTTGGTGTACGATTTTCTTGGGCTAAAACAACAACGCTACTGGCATTCCTCGCACGTGAACATGCCACGTATAGTTGCCCATGGGTAAAGCAACCTTTTGTTAAATCTATACCAGCTTTACTTAACGTTTGTCCTTGGGACTTGTTGATTGTCATAGCAAAACTGACATTGATCGGGAATTGCAATCTTTTGAATTCAAATGGCAAATTTGATGGTATTATAGGAATCCGTGTTATAAATACTATTTCACCTCTGTCGCATCCGGATATTATACGACCTTCTATAACGTTTCTTTGCAACGACACTACTCGCAACCTAGTACCATTGCAAAGTTTCGGCGGATTTAAATTACGCAATAGCATGATGGGCACGCCAACTTTAAGTTCTAGTTTGTGGGAGGGTAGACCAGGCACAATTATACTGTTTAAAAATTCTGTTGGGTAATTAACCACTTCATCCGGATTGCAAACTGTATTGATGGAAAGATATGTTTGTGATTCACCTGTTAGCTTATCTAAAATGCACTGATTAAGCGCAGTAACCTGGTCGTTCGTAGGCGCTAAAATTGATCTGTCACACAACCACGAATCTTCTTTGATATTGAGATTGTGAATATCATCATAAATACTATATATTAAAGTTTCAGTGTCCGCCACAACCTGACAAAGACTGGTAGGTAGTTCTATATCATGATTACTATTCACTTCTGGACACTTTCCCTCTCCAACATCAAGAAGAATTGTACTAAATTCTGAATCAGCTGAATGTGCTCTCATATTTTGTTTTAAATTAAGTTTTTTACACTGTCTCCAAAGTACTGAACGTTTTAAACAGGCGTTAATTTCATCGGCTCGCGTACCCTTACTTATAACCGGTAATATTTGTCTAAAATCTCCAGCGAATAAGAATACGACTCCTCCAAATAATAGATTATTACTTCTAATATCCTGCATCGTCCTATTCACGGCTTCTATAGAAATTTTGTTTGCCATAGTGCATTCGTCCCATACTACAAATACACAATCTTGTAGTACTTTGGCTTTGAGACTATTTTTGGGTATATTGCAGACTGGATTTTCCGTACGGTCTAAATCTAGTGGGATTTTAAACATAGAATGTGCCGTTTTTCCGCCAGGAAGTAAGGTTGCCGCTATGCCGGACGATGCGACTGCTATGGCAATCTTCTTTTCTGCACGTATTTTGGCTAGCAAAAGATTAATCAAAAATGTTTTGCCGGTACCACCTGGAGCGTCTAAAAAATACACTCCACCAGCATTTGCATTTATTTTATCAATGAGGAGTCGGTAAATTTGATTTTGTTCATCGTTTAGTCGTGGTTCATTATGATTTATAGTATTTTGAAGTTCAACTGGGTCAAAATTTGTATGTTCAATATATTCTTTGTTTAAATTTTCATCAATTCCATCAGTCGCTTGTGGAGATGGTAAACCATAATGAGGGAGAGAATTGCCGCCTATCGAAAGAAGAATGTCTTGTAATGCAAACAAAGCTCTATTTGTAAATACGTCTAAATGAGAATTTATGTCTGCATTCGGGTAATGCCGTTGGAAATCTCTTACATAATCATCTGTAAAATGATCCTTGAACTTGTCCCATAACTCTGTGGGATTAGAGATATTGCAGAAAACTAAAATAATGGCGAATAGTTCTCGTAATTTAGATGCGTTGCTGCTTATACTGGCATCTGTTAAAGTGTCGAACCAATGATTATCGCCTTCTAGTAAGCCAAGAGCAAGACATGCCGCTTGATATGTAGGATGTAAAATTCCATTCACCCATTTGAGACTTTCAAAAGAAGTTGGTCCTTTGACAAATGTTAATAACAACCTCAGATAATAACATTCCCGATTATTGGGGTGAATTGTATAGATTCTCCCAAGTGTATGCTCATAAAATATGCCGGGATGACCTTCCACAGGAGTACCTCGACGTCGCCGTTGAAATGTTCCATTTTGTTTATTAAATGTATAATAACCTGGTATTTCTTCGTACAATAAAGAAGCTGCGAATTCGATGTAAAAAAAGAAAAGCAGTAAAAATGTAACAAAATATTTTGAATGAATTAAGATGAGATTAGAAGAACGGATCAGTGGAATTATCAAAGTTACTTATCAATCAAATCAAACTATCAATCAAAAGTATGATAAAAGCACCGGAAACCATTAATTTCTAAATGAAGTCGTCGAGACACAACCTTCAGCAATAGCCCGCTCGCGCGTTCTGAGCCCGCGCGATAGGCAGCCTTTGTGATAATGTTTCGTTGGTGGGAGAAGTGGTGGGGAGCCCGCGCGACAGGCAGCCTTTGTGATAATGATTCGTTGGTGGGAGGCGTCCGATGCGACGACACAGTGGTGGCATGCGCGTGAGCTGCGCGCGGAACTGGACAGTACTTAAACATTTCAACATAACTTTATTTTTCTAAAATAAAAGATTTTTTTCTAAAATAAAAGTAGCCTAAGTTACTCCTTATTACATAAGCTATCTGCCAGTGGAAGTCCCGTCCAAATCGGTCCAGGCGTTCCAGAGATTAGCCGGAACAAACAGACAGACAGACAGACAAAAATTATAAAAAAATATATTTTAGTATGTGTACCGTATATACATTCATATGCATGTAGTAGGAAGCAGTAATTTTAATATTACAAACAGACACTCCAATTTTATTTATTTGTATGTATGTATAGATAAGAGCTTTGCCTATTTTAAATGAATTGTAAAACTGAAATATCGTTGATTCATTTGATTTCGAGATGTGAAATTTTGCCACTGTGTCCCAAAGCAGATAACCATAACTACGATTGGCTACTTCATCACATCATGGTCTCATGCGGACCGTGAATCGCGTGAGGCACCAGCCTATTGCCATTCGACTGGTACGATTACAATTTATTCCTGTAAGTCCTAAATACCGAAAGCCCCTTTTAATAAACCAAGCGATGCAACCGTAATGGAACACCCAAAAAAATGGTTATATACGACCCGTTTCCATTCCCATTTCCGCGTGAGAAGACAAAACTTCAATATTTCAATGTTATATACATGTATGTGCAGGTAAACGTCGAGCGTGTTCGGGTCACGTTCCGTGGCTGTTTGTTCAACATGACGTTGTCTCGCTGGTTAGACGTGACATTGTGTGTAACGGATTTAATAGAATACACAGCTCCAACTGCGTAATATAATTTCTAAAACATTTTTACATTCGAAGGATCTAGTGTAATGATATTAAGTGTAACTTCACATGAGAACTATGCATATATGTCTACCGAATACTAATGGAAGAATACGAAAACTCATTTTTAAAAATAGACCTACACAATTACATTAAAGAATTCCATTTGTGCTGACAACAATGACGTCATCAAGATAGCCAGCAGCGTGACATGGCCGGCGTCCGGCCGAGCGTGTTTACTTAGTAACACGATAGCACGCTCTTCGTTTGACGTGTGCGGTGGCTTAATGGAAACCGCTGTTTGTAGGGCAGTGAGCACTTTATTTACTTTCGTCCAACTAGGTGTCACCTGGAAAATCTAGGTTCCCTGACAAACGTCTCTAGTAAAACACCAGAGTCTATGTAAAATCGTATTTTGTTCACGTTTTGTTTTGATGTTTTGTGAGATTTCAATTTCCAATAACGGCAAAATAAAATTATCCCAGAATTGATTTATCACACAAAATAACAATAATAAGAAAATTCCACAAAGACGACTAATACCAATAACTTGTTAGAAAACAAATTACGGATACAGATTTGACCTCAATTTGTTCTCGAATTCGAGAATCTAGACGCGGCACTCATAACTGCCAAGAACAACAATCACAAACAAAAACAATTATCTAAACACTCGAGACAATTCGATCCAAATCTTGTTCAGTGAACAATAATATAACATTGTGGGTTTGACAAGACTTCAGCCGACGCTCGAAGGCGTCCCGGAGACAGCCAATATTTCTTTGGCACAACACCAAGTTTTAAGTGGCTGTGCTCAGGCTTTTGTGATTGTGTCAAGGTTCGACTTTTATAAGTCAATTGGCTGTGGAATTTTATACGAATTTTCTAAGAAATTGGAGCGTTTTGTACTTGGATAAAACTTTAGACCAAAGACGGAAAGGTACAGTTAACTTAGCCGATGGAATAGAATTTATTTTGCTTTAATTAATTTTGGTATTGGCTTTCACAAAATTCACGAACATTACAAAAGACATACATTAAACCCTAAAGTAACTCGAGGAACATAGTACTAACACTAAAACCCAAAAGCTCCTTTCAACAAATTCCACTTCAATTCCAAGTAAGACCATAAGCAGGCGAAACAACAAAAGACTCGTAAAACTAAATTGTAAAATGTCGAACAAAGTACATGGCGTAATCGTGCCAATGTAGGCTAGAGATGAGTTTTGGCCGCACGCCAATGAAAAGCGAACAGCAGAAAAAATCCGCATTGAGCCTCAGGCATGGACTATGTGGAAGAAAGCATTATATTTTAAGAACTTTAGTTAGATGTAAGTCATTGGGGAGTAGCTAACTTATTTTTATTTCAGCGCCATTTTTCTCTAGTACAGGTTGAGTCCCCAAGGCAACATTAACCTCTTGGTACTCGCAACGGAATTTATCAATTAGATTAACGAGACGCTTCGTTGCTAGAAGTTTTCTTACGTTGCTATTTATACAGGTACTGCTACTACGTAACTAAGTTAATAAGTTACTTTGTCCGAATTAGGAGTAATTTACATTGTTTTAAACTGTTGTAGCGCATTCCTTTATAGGTCTGGGACTAATTATACTAATCTAATTATGCTTTTATATTGTTTAAACTGGTTTGCGATACGGAGACTATAGCAAGTTACAACAATGACATGCTCAATTAGACGATATGTTATGACTGTTTCATAGTTTCAAAATCGCAATTGATTAAGTTGCAAGGATGTATACTAGACCTAATTCAAATATAGCTTCAATCACGTATCGATTGTAAACTGCTTGACGTGTTATGATATAAGCCCTTCCATTTCTATACTTTTCTCAGACTCACAATTCATAAGTCATACATCTACTAAACTATTTTAAAATTAATGACTTACCAAGCATATTAAATCCATTGATGCCGAACAGCGCGGCGTCTCCTTGTCCTCCTGGGAACACGTAGAGCGTGGGGTGGCTGAACCTGATGTTGCCCACCACGTCGCTCGACACCAGGAGCTGGTCCAGGCTGGCTGGTACCACGTATGGGTCCAGGTATGCTGTGGGCAAGAGAAAGGTGAGTTAGGAACTGTATTTTTAGGTCAAATAGTCTTTTATTCTGGAATAGACAGGCTGTGGTGTACGTAATAAATGGAACAATCACTTTAGCGCCTAAAGTAATGAGTTTCATGTAATACGACCTCAGTCTATCAATTGACAAATATCTGTCTATATAACACCTCTTTTTTCGTAGTCACACTTGTAAGAATTCAACCAATAGGGGCAGTTTTAATATCGACATAATGTATACTTCAATAAATTCCTTAAATGGGTATTGGGTATATTGCATCTGTTACTATTTCCGTTTCATGATACATTTGGGGAAAATAAACATGTTTGTATGATGCTGTAAATAATAAACAATTGTATATTTAATGTGAATAGAAATGTAGTAAGTAACTAAGTATTTTGTTTTTAAATTATATGGTAATAATTCTTTCATAAACTACGGTTGAACAAACACCTCTTCTTTTTTTGAAGTCGGTTAATTATTATACTAAAATCTTTTCCGAAGTGTAACAAACACTTTACTGAAAACCGCATCAAAATCGGTTCAGCCAATCGCTAGATAATGGCACAAACATACGTACATACGTCAAACGTAGAACCTTCTTTGAAGCCGATTAAAAAGTGTAGTACAACTTTATTAGTAGGTAATAAATTACAAATTGATGCAGTATAAGAATAAGATAACATCTTACCTATATTTACATAACATCACGCCTTTTATCCCCGAAGGCGTAGGCAGAGGTGCACACAGAAGTAACACCCACTTTTCACTATTTATGTTATGAGTCCCATGTAAAAGGGGGTGAGCGTATTGCCATATACCAGGCGCATTTCCAGACTCCGTGCTACTACTAAGATTTTTTTTTTAAATCCAGTAATACTTTGCCCGATCCAGGAATCGAACCCGAGACCCCTTGTCGCACTTGCGAGCACTCAGCCTTCGAGGCAGTCCTATACATAGTCCTACATACATGTATATAAACTAGTTCCATTATAAAACTTACCTACCATTAATTAAACTGTCAAACACCAAGCGGTCACCGGTGACCGCAACCTATTGTTCTATAATTGTGTCTACAAAACCGGTACTCGACGAGTTAAATTCCAAAACGAACTAACTTTCATTTAAATATTCTAGAAAATAAACGTTCAGTAGTTTAACTGCAAGCTCGGAAACTTAATTAAACGAACGGACACTTGAACCCGAGCCATTTGAACTGAATAGTCGGTTCTGAGTTCTAGTATATGATTTACATACACATAGACAGATGTCGCGGAGAACCTAACGGGGTTACCGGGGCTCCGGCTCGAAGTGTAGGAGAAAGAACGGGGTAGTTTTTAGTCAGTAAGAGTCTGACACTCCCTCCCGCCTCACCCAGGCAAAATAGGCACACATATACAGATAATTATAATTATTATACAATGTAGAATGTACGTATCTCACTGGGTAAAGAAGGGGTTAATGAAAAAATCTTCGGATTTATGATTTGCTTATAAAGAGATTCGTTAGAATGGGATTGACATCGTCACAAAATGTAAAAGTACAAAAATCCCTAACAATTTTAAATAAGATTAAAAAAAAGGTGTGTATTTTTTATTTGATATGCGTTTGGAAGGTTTTAGTTATTGTTTGGTAACGGTAAAATCGTGGTGGTCCGGAGGTTTAAGACGCCCGCTTCACATGCATGGTACGGGTTCGAAACCTACCAACGGCAAGTACCAATGCGACTTTTTTCGAGTTATATGTACTTTCTAAGATTATCTAGACACCGCTGACAAACGGTGAAGAAAAACATCGTGAGGAAAACTGGGCTTATAATTTCTAATTATAAGTTTGTAATCGCCAACCCGCATTGAGCAAGCGTGGTGATTAATTCTCAAACCTTCTCCGTGTGAGAAGAGGCTTTACTCAGTAGTGGGCACTTATAGTCTGTTGATGATGATGATGATTATGAATTGAGGGACAATATGAAGAACTATTGAATGTGTGCTGTTTAAACTGTCAAACACCAAGCGGTCACCGGTGACCGCAACCTATTGTTCTATAATTGTGTCTGCAAAACCGGTACTCGACGAGTTAATATCACACTAGTATAGTGTGATTGAAAAGTTTATCTCCTAAGCTGTGTTTTTATTTACCTTCTATTTTAATTAAAGAAAGATTTACGATATAAAATGACATTCACAATAAACGTCCACATTCTAACGTAGATGCAATGATATTCTCAAAGTACATGTAGTATTCGTTGTATGTATTAGTTAGTTCAAAAACTAACTACATAAATATGTAAATTAGAACTACATCATAAACTATATCCTTTTAAAAAAACCTTTCCATTGTACTTGTCTCTAAAATTGTCATTTATTATAATTTATTTTACACTATAACCCGCGACCAACAACAATCATTGCCATGCGAAATTATTTAATAAAAAATATGGGTCATTTATCGTGACTAACAAAGAGATATAACCCGTTAACGCGCCCGGGGTTATAATAGACCCTATTAACATTTATATTCACGAGGATTGAGCTAAATCCCTGTATTCACTGGGTATAATACTAGGTACAATACTGCAGCGCAGTGAATGGGTCGCTCCGGTATAAATGCTATGGAAATATTCCGCTGGAGTTCACAGGGTTAGCTTGCTGAATTATCAATAGGTCTTAGGTTTTGAATGAAAAAGATTATAATATAATATTAAATGCAGCTGGAGGAATGGGTATTTTGTGGTTATTGTAGGTACTTTTTACTATGAATATTTTAACATTTTGGAAAAATATTGTAAAGACTTATTTATTGTGCTGAAACAAACTACTATTATATGCACAGAATTTTGTCTCTGAACTCTCTTAAAACTTAGAATATTTTATAATAATACACGACATCTTATATTGCCTGTAATTTTCACATTAATATTTTGATAATAACCCAGTTACTACTTAATTATGCACCACTTCTATTTTAAACATACCATAAAACATCATTATAATCTGTCCCAGTTTATGCATAACATCCTAACACACACAACTTCATTACCCAAGGAGACCTAACAAGGTGACCTAAATGGTAACCTAACAGCCTGCATCCGCCACTCCAACCTAATCAATGACCTACCTACCTGCCCTAATAACTCCCACACATCACCAACGCATTTAAAACTTTAAGTCTCGTGAGATAGAGTTTAAACTTGGTCGGACGGCTAGTTGATACGCTCGGATGCGCAGCGCTTAATTCAAGGATGTTGCTAATTATTTGCCATGTAGTGCTTTAGTAGGGTAGAAGTTTTCTTTAGCTTTTGATAAATTAAATAACGTGGACATGGTCAAAACGATACCAACCTATCTCGTTAGGGTTGGGTAGATACTTGTCCCTATAAAAAAGAAAACAAGTTTTAAAAAGTCACCGCCCATAGAAAAACCTTTCATAACAAAAACAACGAAAATTGAATCCTAACTATAATATATGTCGGTAGGTTTTCCTATAAAGGCCTGTTGTCCGATGCGTCAGTACATTTTAATTTCGTCCTATCAAAGGTTCGGCTAGAACACGTTGCGAAAACAATATGGCGCTGGCTATTGTATGGCTACGGTATGCGTTTATTGAAAATTCCGGGAAATATGTGCCAATATACAGAAATAATGATTTTATATATTTCGTTATCGGAGGCCGGTGTGGGTCGGCGATATAATAATTTTTGATCGCTTCGTTAAATAGCCTCCGCCTGGGCAATATGGTGGATAATAATTTTGGGTGTTATGTGGGTAACGTATTGATGTTTTGTATTGATTGGCAGTGAATTGGATGTGGGTTTAGTTATACAGATTAATATTGAATTCATCAACAGCCTATAAATGCCCACTGCTGAGCAAAGCCTCTCACACAGAGGTTTTTTGAGTATTAATCACCACGCTTGCTCAATGCAGGTAGGCGATTACAAACTTATAGTACTTGGAACTCAACAATCCAAACTTCTAACCCAGACAATCACAAGCACGAGACCAACAAAATTTCTAGAGAAAATTACAGTAGATTAAACAGCACTTTATCTTTAATTACAAACAATGAAATACGACTAGTCATAAAACCGAGAATACTAAGTAAAACATTCTAAAGCATTCATTATGAAATAACTGGAGACAGCTTTTGGGAATATATTCCCGGGAGCTATCTGTCTCAGTATTACAATACTGACTTAAGTGCCACTACATATAGGACAATAGGTTCCTAAGCTATATTCTGAGAGAGTCTTTAAGATAGTCTAGATTCTAGACTGAAGGAAATAGTCTTTAAGAGTCTTGAAGTGGGTAAAGAGATGTAGTAAAGAGATTATTAAGAAAAGAAGGCAGTTTTATGCAGACGTCTTAGAGAAACGCTTGAAGTTTCATTTCAATGTTGGCTCCGTTATTTGAATGTGGATTGTTAACGATTTATATTCTTCAAGCCTTTTAGAGTAACTACTTTTGTGTTCTACTAAGAGTTTTGGAAGAAAATCGGTCTTGTCAAGAACTATTACTAGAGAACTAAACTTTTCATTAATATTGAAACCTGTTCTAAATATTATTATTGTCTACTAGTTGTGTTGCAGGAATATGTTGAATTTAAATTATGAAAAGTTACAAAACGACCTAATAAATCCGGGTAGTGTTTATAAATCTCTCAATTAAGATTTGCCGAGTTCAAAAAAAAGAAGGAGGTTCTGATAATCTTTGTAAAAGAATTATGTGGCAAGATGCCGTGTAATCTTATGAGTAGCCTAGGAGGAATTAAATATAATTATAATTAGGCCCATATTTTTAAAACAGTTCCTCACACCAGGTGGTTCTCCTTTGTCGTGGATGCATTTACAAACATACAATTTTACATATACATGTCATCCAAACCCGAAACAAAAAATTGTGGATTACACAGAGAGTTGCTCCTGCCAGAATCGAACCTTTCACACGTTGCACGGTAGCAAGTTGTCCAGCCACCACGCGAATCGTGCAG